AACGGAAGCAAAATTTTGCGAACGGTGCTGTTCGTGAACCAAATTGTTCATGAACAGAAGCATTCATGACTCGAGGTACCACTGTATTAGGACTAACAGTTCTGGGCTATAAAAACCCAAATGCCCACTAGATAGTCACAAATACAGAAAACCCTTTGCTGCTATATAGTGGTCATCTGGATATTTGCAGCCCAAATCTACTGAATATATCTGGTTAATGTATCTTTTGCCTTTTTTTGGACAGAACTTCCTCTTCACTGGTAATATCAGTAAGTTGTAAAACTCAGCTGATTAGTGTGCATCAGGAAAAACAATGAAGTCTAGACAGGCTTAAAAACTACTATAAACAAGTCCCAAACGTGATTTCTGCCTCCACACCTGCCCTTGCAGCCTCTGAGTATTGAAACTGAACTGCCTTAACTAGAAAGCTTGGTACGCAAAGTCTTCTCCACTGACTCTATTTATAAACATGCCCTTTTCTATGAAAAGAGCTAGAAGTCAGTCTCTTTGGGGCAGAGGATAGAGTTTCCATCCATCTCTTGTGCTAAGAGCCTGGCCTAGTAGCAATTGTTTACTTCTGGCCATGGGAGAACTAATTTTCATAATGGGCTGCAAAAATCCAGATGGCCACGTTGCTCAGACACTTCTGACGCTTTGTGACCCAGCTGACAAAATTTTGGCACGACAGTACTGTATGTCAGCAGTTGCTCCTTTGAATCTTTGTAACCTCTTTTTTTGATTCCCTTTGATATTCTCAATGAGTCTTCTCCAATGATCCTGCCTTTGCGTTATGTATCCAAAATATTTAAGCTGTAGCTTCATTATTAGGTCTTCTAGTCTGATTTTACTTCATCTAGTACTGAGTGTTTTCTTCTCCTTCAGGTCCAGGGTATTCCCAACAATTTTATCCAGCAATGGAAAATTCCCCCTCCCATTAGCAGACCCCCCCCCCCATTCAGATTTCCTTGAAGGCTTCACTTTATCTACTAAGAAGTTCTCTTATCTCATCCTGTGAAGTAATTATGTTATTTCCTGCTTGCTTACCTTTACCTCTTGCCTCTGGGTAATTATAAACTCTAGACATCCAGATACCTAGCATTCAATTTATTTCCTTGCTTCTCATGACAATTCGCTACCAGCTTGCTCCTCATTTCCCCAACTTCACTATAGCCTCCCTGCCTTGCACTAGCACTCACATGTCCCCGACAGTAAATATCTGGGCTACCACTCCTCTTGAGAATCCAAAAGCTGGAATTTCACATGTTGGATGTAGAGCTGTTAGAGTAATACAAGAATTAGAGTCAGGATATCATGGCTTGGCTGTTCTTAAAGACCAAACTCTGATGCCTCAGCAAGGTCCAAACATGACTCCAGCTTTCAAGGAGCAGAACCAAAATAAAAAGAACCAGGAAAAGAATGAGAAAAAGCAGGTGTGTTTCACTGGAAGCAGTGTAATTCCCTTTTCTTCCAGGTTCTTTTGGGGGGGGGGAGGAATTGGGGATACTCTGACAAACACTGGTTCCTTCAAAATGACAAGTGAGGTTTTTCAAGGTTGTGCAGATGTATACATACCCATACAAATAAGTAACTCTATAGAATATAGTGCAAATCTCACAGAATCACTTTCCTCAACCAGGTATTCCCTCTATATTTCTGTTACTCACAGCTATCTGTGAAATCAGGCTATTGGCTGGATAAGCCATAAAACAGAAACTAGGTTAAAGCATTTTAAGCATTTGACTCATTCACCTGAGAGGCCACACCCTGCTCTCTCATAGCTTCTGTTTCCTGCTATTAAAGTTGGGAAATGAGTTCAAACAATTGCAGAATGCATATATCACACACACGTGCGCTCACACACGAAGAGAGAGACCTCTGGGATTTCCCAGCGCTTCTCTTGCATGTGGTATTACAATGGACTCCTCCTTCCACAGACGTAATATGATGATCTGTCTTAATGTTCTCCCAAAGCGTTTTTCTCCAGAAGGAAAAAAAAAATCACACTGTACACTTCTGAAGAAGCCACATTGAGATAATCTGAGCTTCCAGGACAGAAGCGTGAGAAGAAATTTACTCCATAGAGAAGATCCTCATTTCCCATAATCTGCCAGTGGGATTAATTCATAAACCATGAATGGAGGTAAGAGTCTTTTTATTTTGGAACAAAATAGGATCTGCGTGTTGACTTTTTATTTCTGCTCATTGCTTGTTACACTGGCATTTTTCAAATAATGTGAGTGGAAGAAGCAGGGACAGGTTGTAATGAAATTAGAAGCTTCACTCTTGGATTCCCCACATTTGCCAAACTGTCAAGGCTAGCCCGATATACTTTGGTGCCTGAAAGTTAGGAGATGGCAGCTGTCTGCGTATTCCACACTCAGAAGCTGACCATTCAATCACACATTTTGGCAGCGGGAGGGCATCTGAATCTCATTAGGGGGTGCATTTTCCAGTCTGGAAGGCACAGTCAAGAGGCTTGAGAGAAACAGCCGGGGGAAGCTGTACTTGTCTATTCCCCAGCCAACCTCTGCCAAGGGAGCCAGTTGGCCCCTTACCTGTCTCATAGGAGGGTCAATATTCAGCTCCATATCTATAGATCTCTCTAGCATAAGTCCCTGGACAGCAAGCTTTTATTTGATTGGAAATGTTATATTCCACCCACTCCCTTCATAGCTGTGGTTGGCATTCATTTTCATCCATCCATTCATAGATAACAAGCACTCCCTTTCCTAACAGAATAGACTCAATTACCATCCTGGCCTAATGCATGGGAGAAAAGCCAATTCCTTACAGCTGTACAATAAAACATCTATGACACATTTAAAGCATTATAAACACTTTTAGAAAAAAAATCTAACAAAATATAACTAAAAGGCCTGGGTAAATAAATGGTAATAAGGAAGCAGCTGACTTCAGTGGTGATTAATCCCACAATATGGGCCCTGCCACGCAGAAAGCCAAATTGGTTGTGGATTCCAAGCCTATCCATAGTGGGATCTGTAAAATGCGCCATGCTAATGAGCTGAGACTTCAGGATAGATTGTATGGGAGCTGGTGATCTGCTAAGTAGCTTAGACTGAAACTGGGTTAAGTGGGCCTTGAAATCCTGTCCTTTCAAGGCTGCCTTTTGCTTGCTGTCTTCTAGTCTTGGTTGGGCACTTTTCTGATGTGCCTAATGGAATCATAATATCATAATCTACTATCAATCTTTGTACTCTTATGTCTGATGCTTTATGACAGCGCAAGCATGAAAAATATTCTGTGTAACAAAATCTTATCAGTAGTTACTATCACAAAACAAGACCAGAGTACCTGCCTTGTCCCTCTTTTAAGTAGAATCTTATGTCTCAATCATAACATGATTGTACCGAGGCATAGATTCTCCTCATATCAGGAAGTTGGGGGATTCTCCAACAAGACAGAGAACACAGCTTTCTTCCAAGCAAGGGAGCCGAGTTAGGAAAAATGTTGGTTGGCAGTGGCGAGGCATCTACTCAAGAATTTTACAGCTCCTCTGTTGTCTTGCTTTTTCTTGGAGCATCAGCAACAGACATACTGGGACTGTTTCCCTCCTTAATGGGTCTTAGAGGAATATGTCATGTATTAAAACTGGTAGGATTGGCCATCTAGTCTGATGTTAAGCTTCAACCCACCACCCTTTCTGGGGGGGAAGATCTGAAAGTCAGAACTCTAGCCCAAGTCAGGTGGAACTTCCAAATCTGTAATTTCCCCAAATGGGACACCTTCTAAAATGGGAATCTTCACTATGTCTGAGTCCACTGATTCCATTTATCCACTCCTGACTGCAACCTTTTAGTTAACATGGGTACAGCCAAGAATGGCCAGGATATGTATACTGTTGGACAGGCATCCTTAAAAATAGCTCATCAATGTTGGGTTCCATGATTTGCTTATTTATTAAATTTATAGCCTGCTTATATATGCATTGTAGATGGTTGATAACAATGAAAAAATACAAAATATAAAACATGTCAATACAGTTAATACAATTGAAATCAATTAAAAGCTTGGTCAAAGGGCCAGTTTCCTAATTGGGAGAGTGGGGGCCAAACACATCTCCCTGGGTGAGCATTCAGTAGAGACTCTTCCTAATGCTGCTTCATCCTCATTTACCTGACAACAGCTACCTGCTTTCTTTCTTTAATCGGCCTCCAAACAGTTCCTTTTTCCTCTTGTTCTGGAGGGAACTACACTTTCCCAATTTCCACTGACCTTTTTATTTCAGGAATCTCAAAATGGTACACAGGGGCACCAGTGTATCTTCAGACACCTACCTTGGGGTTTCCCAAGGTCTAGGTTTGACTTTTTGTACTATAAAAAGTCACAGGTTTTGTAGTCAGTAACAGTAGAGTCACCTTTATTTTCAGGAGCATTTCTGGAACCCAAAAGAGCCCCATAAGCTTTCCTGGGGAAAAAATTCCCTCAGACACTGGGGCTGGAATGTTAGTTATGGGAACCCTGGCATGGGTGTACGTGATTAGTGACTGCGGAAACTTTATTGGACCTCCACTGGTTTGCTGTAGTTGGTTTGAACGGCAAGTTTTGTTTTTGCTTTGTTTTGCCTTTGTTCACCACCCAGAGTTTCTTCGGATAGAGGAGTGGTCATATAAATTGGCTAACACCCCCCAAATTAAAATGATGGGTAGTTGTAGCCCAGAGCTTTGTTTCCTCTGTGCCACCTGCTCAGAAAACAGAGAAAGGTAAGGGTAGGAGAGTGCCATGCAGGGGAGGGAGTAGAAAGAATATTAAGTAGTATTCTGGTAAACTGGTTCTTTGCAATTGGTTATGTACCTATGACAGCCATTTCATGTGAGCATCTCCCCCCGAGTTATTTTGCAAAAGCACCCATATGTCCTCAAAATTCCAAATGTGATCCCCAGCTGAAAAATGTAGATGACTTGAATGTTTCCATGGTTCTGTTGAACAGGATAAGAAACACAGCTTTTGACAAAAACTAACAAGAAAGCAAAACACTCATTGACCAAACCCCCCCCAAAAAACAACAAAAAAACCAACCCTGGGGATGGATCTAGCTTTAGTCAGAGTGAGTCCCATTGAAACCAATAGGATTTTTAAAATCAGGACAACTAACTAATGTACTTTCAACCACTTGGGTCAACCCTAAGTATGTGTCAGCCCTTCAAGGTTCTCCAGACAGGAAACTAAAACCATGAGTAATAATACTTCCTTTATTGTAAGGTGACAAAAACAGAAGTAACAGAATCTTGCAAGTCTGAAAGCACTTTCTCCCTCCCTTGCCTTTACTTTCTAGAGAATGAGGGAGGGTCCCTTCTGAGATGCTATCTCTACCCCCATCCCTCCCTTGGGCTCTGCTTTCTCTTCCTACACCGTTATCTAGGCTGCGGCTGTTCTTCCTGTCTCCCAAGGTTATTCTCATCGCTCATTACAGTATGACCAGACCTTGATGCAGCACTTTGGCCAAATTCACACAACACACTATGCCAGCCCTGTTTTGCTTTTTATTAGCTGTATATCTTGATTTTATTTTGTACAACTCAAGGCAGTGCACCTAATGCTTCCATCTCCTTATTTTCCCCATAATAAGAGCCCTGTGAGGTGGGGTGGGCTGAAAGAGGGCGACTGGTCCAAAGTTACCCAGCCAGCTTTCAGAGAGGATTACAACTCATAGTCTCCTGGTTTCTAGTTAACTAATCAAGCCAGCAAGATTATCTGTGTAGCTATGTTAGAACATGTAGTTTCTTGCCCATGAGTCAAGGGTGGCTTTGTTTATTAAAAAGTGGTGTCTCCCTGAAATTAAGGTTAATTCCTATACCTGACCAATGAAAATGGAGAAAGCAACTTTTCAGTTGTAACAATAAGTCACCCAAATTAAGGATGAAGTTGGGTGCATGTCAGCACTGTATGATGTAAAGCAAGGAAGTATACCATCAAAAATCACACAAGGGATGTGTTTACTCTATATGGATCATTGTAAAATCTTGTTCTCTCATTTGGGATTATGCCAGAATTTTTCCAAAGGGATTGTACCTTACTAACAGAAAAGAGGACATTATTTACATTTTTTGCAGAGAAATTGGGTCTTTGCCTGGGGTACAAAATTGAACACATTTTTGCAGCTTTCCCAAGCCAATCTCCCCTTCTCCAGTTGTGTTGGAACTGCAACTTCCCAATTCCCAGAAAGCCTGGCCAACAACTGGAGGGCACCAGGTTGGAGAAGTCTGTTCTGCTGCCCACTTATCTCCCCATCCTCCCAGTTGGTAGAGTATTCCAAGAAATAGTGGGTAGAATGAGATAAAAAAATGCATTTAGTTAATATGATGATTCTCCATTCATGTATTTAATTTTAAAGATTTTGTCCTTGGGTCATTTTAAAAATTACAACTGGATAATAATTCGGTTACTCGAGGTTTTCAGAGGCCACTTATGGTCCTGGGATCTTAGCCTGCGCACCCCTAAGAGGATGGATCAGCTATATGTATGTTATTTAAATGTCCTCCCTACTCATGTATAACGGAGGGGGGAAATTAACTCTCATCTGTTAACATTAAAAAAAAAAAATCTAACTCAGCTTGTATTCAATAATGAAGAGGAACTGAAAAAAGCTGACTTGAAATGGGGCTGGCCTGGCTCTTTGCTGCCTGCCATGAAAAATCAATGGTGCACTTCCCATTCATATGTGCAAAAAGTTCATTGGACAGACTCTGTGATTTTTTTTTTTTTTTTGGTAACACTAGCAATGGGACAGCATTCTCCATGTGCCAGAAGACATCAGGCTAGCTTACAGACCACAACTCTCTCTTCTAACATCTTCCTCCCCCTCTCAAAAAATGCCATTTGAAGTGATTTCCTTCTTTTTGCTTAATAATAGGACCATTCCTGGCTTCCTATCAAGCTGAACCCAGGCAACTGCATTATACCCATTTTGTTTTTTATAATTTATATATATATATGGGTACATTATACCCGTGTAGCTGACCTCATGGCTTTCTGTGCAAATAATTTTTGGGTGAACAAATGTGTGATGCAATTAGCAACTGCCAAAATGCAAAGGGTGAACAAATCTGTTGTGATCTGCTTAAGCCTTCTAATGATTCAGAATTTAATTTCAGTTTTACACATTGCATATGTTCCCACAGTATCAAAATGAAGTTAAAGCAAATCCAAACTCAGTTCAGTTTCAGAAATGTCATACTCATCAGTGCTGATCCTACAGCTCCTTGGATCAGCAACATCAACATTCTTCCAGATTTATACATGTTTGTATGTATTTTATTTCCCACCTCATTCCAGAGAGACTCTAGGTGGGGATAAAATATATAGTATGTGCTGCCTCTTATAGCCTTTTGTGGCAAGTTATCTTCCTCTTAAACTTGCTTAACTTTTCATTTCTTTGGCAATGAGGATGACACACACGGTTTCTTCATTTCCAATGACTACATAGGTTTCCTGTGTCCTTTTCAGTTGTGTTTATGGAATTCAGTGTGTGATGAAAAAGCTTCAAGTCACAGCATATGAGAGACATCGTTCTCACAGACTGGCCTTCTATTGATGGACATCATCCATCACATTGTGGCCGAACCTTGGACTCAGCCAAGAACATCCAGCTTGCCCTGGTAAGTGGTGGGTGCTTTACAGATGGAATTATTAAGTATGCTAGGATTGCATCCAGTTTTCAAGACTTCTTTGTCCCAAATACTCAGAGGAACTTTATAGAAATATGCATATTGCCTATAGATTAGTAGGACAGAAATACTCCATCGTGGCAGGGAGGTCTTAATAATGAATATTTTAATAGAAATACTAGACAGAATAGATTATGAAACAGTAGATAGTACAAATAAGTTCATTTCTAAATTTTGAAGATTCTTGGGCAAGTTGCACTCAGCAGATCCCTCCTTCTCTGCCTGCTCCCTCACCACTAAGATTGTACTCTTTTCCCACAATCAGAATAGCTATACCAAAGAAGAGAATGAGAACAAGGCAGCTGTTGTTCCTTCTAGCTCCAACTGATGCTAATTCACAAATAACTTGCCAGGAGACTCCAGGCACTGGCAATGTTTATGAGGATCCATGAGCCACAGTAGATATCCAACAAGGGTCAATTCCTATTTGGATATGTACCTATGACAGTCATCCTGATAGAATTCCTTTTGATTGGCTCCTCTGGCATCAGTGCTGTCTTTCTCCAGATAGATTTAGCACAAACAGTCATGCCAGCTCTGAGTTGTCCACCATTGTGTCTATCCGCAATGCCTTTGATAATCAGGATATTGTAGACATATTTCAGTGGGGTTTTTCAGGCATCTACTGTAACTGCTTGGTCAGGGCTGGGCAGACAGAAATACGGAAGTATGTTTAACAAAAGATTAATCAGTACCCACAAGATCCTACCACGGTACTGCTGCCTTCTGCAGATGTGTGCTCAACGATGCCAACTCATTATGTCAACCAGTTCATGTCTACAGACATGGGACTTTGGGGTTTTCAGCTTCAGTATATGATGGGGCCATAAGGACAGGAGTAGATGGGTTGTAGCAACCTGGCTCCTGTAGGGAAACCTTGGGTTCCCCTGCCTTAAGTCCACCTTTCATTAAAACAAAAAAACAAACAACAACAAATGGATTAGGCTCCCTATACTGCATTATAGGTTTGTGCAGTGATCCAGTTTATCATAATAAAGTTAACCTCATTCACAGAACTTTTGTTGCTATGGCTTCAAGTACTGTCTTCCTTTTAATTTGGCAAATAAGTTATTATTAAATGTTACTTCCTGTTAGCGTTCAAAATAAATTGTTTCCAGTATCAGGAAATTGAAGAGTCAGCCAGACCAGGAATGGGTGTAACTAATTTTTTACAGGACTGGCATATTGACAGTGGAATTATATTAAAAATAGGGAATCTAATATCAGTGCAAACGGTGCTGAAATTGTGAAGATTATCCATATTACGAATGTGCAATTACATTTTCACAAGCTAAAAGAGTTGTGCTGGATGAGGCCCAGTGAAGGTCTTTGTTGTCACTTACAATAGTTGTTACAAATTCTGTGCATTTCCTTTTTTTCTTTTAAGTTATTATCATATGGAGATCTAGCAAGTAGAGCCTGGTATAAAAGATATACATTCAGACTGAAAGACTCTCCAGTCCAAGGATTTCCATTTCAGAACTGAACAAGTGTACAGTCCTTCCTTATTAAACCCCACTCCTGAATGACACTATTAATTTTAGTAGCATATTTATTTATTAGATTCATGTCCCACCGTTATTTTTTACAACTGAAGGCAGTGTGTACATAATGCTCCCTTCTTCTGTCTTCCCCACAATGACAACCTACAAGGTGGATTGGGCTGAGAAAGAGTGACTGGCTGGCTGAAAGTCACACAGCTGGCTTCAGTGCCTAAGGGAGGACTAGAATAGCCTCCTGGCTTTGAGTCCAGCACCTTGGGTGGGAATTAATATCTGGGAGGGGCTTGCAATTTCATTGCCCCCAGTACTGGGGACAGTTTGATATTCCAGTTTTGGATGCCAACCAAGTTGGGAACAATGCCTTCCTGAACTGGCCCATTGCAGACGATGGGACTCCATCATCTATCCATCCCCTCCCATCAAAGCTGATGATGTTCAGAGTTGTAGCCCAGCATTAGCAGAAAGATACAGGTTGAGAAAGGATGCAGTAAGGTCAAAAGACCACAAAGGTGAAAAGAGGATCTCTTCTGTTTGGAAAAAGACAAGTGGATTATCTGAATAAGTGGCCTAATGTAGAAAGTTTACAGCTAAGGTACCAAGGGTTCTTAAATACAAAATGGTAGAACAAGCACACTTGTGGTTTCTGTCTCCTCTATTCATCAAATGGAAGTTACCAAAAAATGCAGCCACCTGGAAAAATCAACTAAAAATAAAATGCCATGTCAAAGCAAAATAAGGGCATAAGCATCTCTATTTTCCATGTACTTATATATTTCTTGAATATAAGTGCCACACTTTACCGAAGTACTGCATAAGAATTATTCCTTTACAAGTTTTTTCTTTAGCACCAAGCCTGTGAAACATGTTAGAATGACTAATCCATAGACACCCACTGAGAACTTCATAGCTGTGTGGGACTAAAGACCTTAAAGTCTTGAGTTCTAATGTACCACGTTAATGCACATCACGTGTTTGCAGGCTTCTCCCACAAGTCAATAGAGAGGTGTGACTTCCAAGTGGTTTGTCAACAGTTAAGTGTATTAACAAATGCAGGTTCACACTATCACCAGATAGTTTACACTAACAGTGGTTCTGTTGTTAAACACCTGCAGGTTCACACTATCACCAGATAGTTGAACCTGATGGTAATCTTAGCATCATGACTCCAGGTGGCTATCAACAGAACCACCATATACAGCCATATACACTGAAACAAAGAAACGAAGAAAGAAAGGTTCCCACGTCAGCTTTATCTATTGTCTTATTTCACCAGTCAGCATCAACAACAGACTGGGCCAAACACATTGCTTTTGACGTGATATAAAACACCTATGTTTTCATGAGTTTCTCTCTCTTTGAGGCTCTGGGAGGATCTTTAAATGCCCCTAACCACTGATTTCTTTTTTGGAAGGGTGTTTTTTTTTTTTGGCTCATGCTGATTTTCTGCTACCAACAGAAACTTCTCCCATTGGGAAATGAGAGATCAGCACAATACCTGAGTTATTCTAAGGCATTTTGCTGCATGAAGGAAAAGACAAGTCAGTACTTGGGATGGAATGGAATTATGAAGGCCAGGCTCAGGGATATAAACATTTTCTTAGCTCGCCAGAGGAGCATGGGAGATACAAGAGGATGAGACTGGCACCTCCCTGAGGAATTCACACTATTGTGGCTGGATGGCTTGGGAGCTGGAGTTTCAGTCTGGGAAGATTCTTGCTAGAGGTTGTAGCTAATAAACAAAGCTGAACTGAATTTGTACTGTCTCGGAGCTGGAGTTTCAGTCTGGGAAGATTCTTGCTAGAGGTTGTAGCTAATAAACAAAGCTGAACTGAATTTGTACTGTCTCGGAGCTGGAGTTTCAGTCTGGGAAGATTCTTGCTAGAGGTTGTAGCTAATAAACAAAGCTGAACTGAATTTGTACTGTCTCTTGGAGTTCCTTGGGCTAGGCCTGACAACAACAAAGTTACTAAAATCAATGAACCAAAGAAAATTACCCATCCTCACTGACTAGTGTTTGTTTTCAACATGGAGAAAACCGGACTGTAGCTGTCTGACATAGAATTGTTAAAGGGAAATATACCGTCCAGAAAGATGGGAAATTAACAGGTGGCAATCCAAATTAATCATCTAAATGCATTTAGATGCATTCCATCTAAATGCAACCTGTCAATAACCTCAATCTCCTTTGTTGTTGTCAGGCCTAGCCCAAGGAACTCCAAGAGTCCATGCAAATTCAGTCCAGTTATGTTTATTAGCTACAACCTCTAGCAAGAATCTTCCCAGA